AAACCCTCCAAAGTCCTAAGGCACCTAAGTCCCCGATTTGCCCTCCAGCAACCTTGCTCCAGTAGTCGCTCCAAGCGCTGCTCTAGCTGCTGCATGCGGAGATCTTGTCGGGACAGAAGCTCGGCCTTTAATGGAACATGGCTTAAGGGCATAGTATCGTCTTTAGAGTAGAACGCTGTCATGGGAAAAAGGCTAAATCGCTCCCTAACGGGATTGCTATACGAAGCCCAGGGTACATACTTGGGTAAGGAACTCGTCTTCAAGTTCCACAACTCAAGGCTAGCATGAGGTTCAGGGGAGCACAACGCCCTTCAGCAACCTCCCTTGTAAGTTGCCGTCGTTTGGTTTTTGTTTCAGCAGGTTCAGGAAGCTTTATGGTTTGTACAGGGGGGTGTATTGGGTGTGAGGAACTTGGCGCAAGTTAACCAGGAAAGCCTCATGCTTTATTGAAGCTAGCATCGTTAACAAGGCCCAAGGTTAACCCTAAACCCGAAACCCTAAGCCCAAGGTGCCTGTGTTGAGAGCTGTTGGCTCTGCGCCTCCAGCTGCTCAGCCTTCATGCTTCCCAAAGCGGAAAGGTGCGAGGAACGGCAAAAGTTTCAGTAGGCTCTGTCGAGGCTTATGACAATTTAGGTGGCTTTGGAACGCAGTAGATACCTACTTTCAGCACTGCTGCATCCTTTGTCTTGTCTCCAGAAGAGAAATTCTCTAACATTGGGGCCTCAATTTTTGCAATAGAGTTTTGGGGTTCATTATACTATACCTATAAGAAGCAACCACCAACATAGTATAGGTAATTTGTAAGGCCCCTATAGTACATGGCGGAGGCCGTCCGTTTCAAAATTCTTTGCTCCGGCCTCCGCCTCAATGGGGCTTCTGAAAAGGTCAAGATGAGGAGCCTCTTTGGGCTCTATAAGGGCTCTACAAGGGTTCTACAAGGGTTCTGTAAGGGATCTATAAAGGCTCTATAAGGGTTCTACAAGGGATCTATAAGGGTTCTACAAGGGTCTACAAGGGTTCTATGAGGGTTCAGTAAGTAAGGGCAGGTTCATACAGCTCTTACTATTGCTACATCTCATTCCCTCATTTCCTGAAACTCTGCTTCAAGCTGCGCGTTGAATTCGAAGTATTTCAACTTTCATCGAAATTCCACAGGAACCCACAACATCTCCCAGCCACACACCCTGAATCCCAGGACTCTGAAGCCTCTACGTCCCAAAATCTATCAACCCTGAAGGTCCAGGGGCCCTCCACACAACCCCTAACAGGGGCAAAACCCTAAACCCTAAACCCTAAAACGTCGCTGGCCTGCGCCGCCAGCTGCTTCGCCTGCGCCTGCACCGTGTTGGCAAGACCGCTATCGGCCTCGGTCCGAGCCTCGGTTTCGCGCGTGTAAAGACGGGGTTCTCAGAAAGGGGGCTATAAGGGCACTTTTTTAGGGCACTATAAAGGTAACAAAGGTACTATAAGGGCATTACAAAGGACTAAGAGTGCTGAACTACGTGAGTTTAAAGCTTTGGGGTGGGGCTCAAGGGTTTCAGGATTTAGGAGTTTCGAGTGGGGGGAAGGGGGTTGATAAGGGATTCCAAGGCTTGCAAAGATCAACAGGCCAAGAGTCTTGTGTAAGAGTAGGAGCGGGGCTTTTAATCAAGGGCATAAATCTACTGCGGAGAGGGCCGTCAACCTTAGCACTCACCCGAGTTCGACAACCAAACATCGGGATGAGGACAGCTTGAATTGGTACTCACGGCCCGCGCAATCACACAAGGAGCTCAGGCCTTTTGGCAGACTTACACCCCAAGTATAAAGGAGCCCTGCAGAAGGGTATGTCAAGTAGGTTGCGATTCAGGCTCTCCCCCGTAAAAGCAACTACTCCCACAGCGATGCCCAACTTGCTCTCGAAGCCCCTGAAGCTGCCACCAGTAGCATAGCAACCCCATTAACTTGGCTACCATTTAGTACGGTTATGTAGGGACTATGTGTGTGTATCTAGATGTACAAGTATATATATATATATATATATGTATGTATAGCTCAGACATCTGCATGAACCCCGAAGCTCCTGAACACAAAAACCCCAAGCCCTCCCGAACAAAAACCTAAATCCCCGACCCCAACCTTCGGCGTCTTTTTCACTTTGGACTCCTTCGCCTTAGGCGTAGGAGCCGTCGCGGTGGCCTCGGGGCACTAAGTGATTTGCACTTTTTCAGATTCTAGAGTTTGATTTTTGGGTCTAGGCCTTTTCGGTTTTGGGGGCGTTCAGGACCAGCAAGTGTCGGTGTTCAATGTGCGGTTTCCTTTCTGGGCCCCACCCTCATGCTTGGTTCTCGCGCTCTTTCGCAACTCCTTGAGACGCACTTCGCAAGAGGTTTCGATGTTGGAAAGAACATCTCATGTGGGAGGTTCAGAGGTTCGCCTGCTAAGAGGCTCGCTACTGCTCGGGCCTGCAATCTACCAAAAAAGAACAAAATATGCTCTGAACATCTACTATACTCTGCTACCTGCAGGCAAACTGCAAGACGACCATGATTCAAAAACGCTGCTTACACAGCCTGAAATGCCAAGTCCCTACCCTACACAACGTCACGCATCCCTGTAGATCCGTTGTTACCGGTAGACTATGACTATGACAGGCATCCGCGAAGCTCCGAAGCCGTATCAAAAAGCACCCAAGACCCTGAATCTGCACAATATAGGGGCCTGGACAGTTTGTAACAGCGCCCCTGCATTACAGGGGCATAAATTACTATTGCAGTGCACGAACCTACTATGATATAGCTGTCCTTTCCAAAAGCCCCACTGCATATCTCAAACAAAACGAAAACTCAATAAATCTCAATGCCCTTTAGGACTCTGGGCCTCATCGTTTTCTGGTGGCTCTCCGCCAGTCGTCGCAGTCTTGGACATGGCGCTCGTAACGAATCAAGGGCTTTGGTGTAATGGCGTTTAAGGCTTTCGTGACGGTTCGGGTTGTATCAGGGTTTAGGGTTTTAGGGCTTTGAGGGTTGAAGGGCTTTGGGGTATCAGGGCTCTGGGGCGTCAGGGTTTTGGTGTCTTTGATTGCATTTAGGGTTTTAATGTAAAGTCTTAGGGTTGTAGGGCTGCAGGGCTTGAGGGTTTGTGGGTTTTTGGGCTTTAAAAGTTCAGCCCAGTTGCTCGTTACAGGGTTAGGGCCGGTTTGCGAGGCCATGTCCTTGAACACAGCTCCATGTGCCCCGGAGTATTCGGTAAAAGGGTTCGGCATGGGCATGAGTGCTCGAAGCCGGGACCCTTGCCAACACATTCAGCAGCAGGCGCTTAGATGGTGAGGATGGGCTTTGCAGGTTCTTTGATGGTGATGGGGGAGGGGTGATGCTAGCTAGCATGTCTTGACATTTCCTACTTAAACTGAAGCCAAAGGACTTACCTTTTTACGAGGGCATGGGATTTGGGAGGAGTTTCCAGTGTTTTCCGATCAAACCTGGGCTTGGAACCACATCACAGTTGAAGGTTTCAAACCAGGAAACATTGGTACCATGAACCATCCTTGCAGTAAGGGTTCTAGAACCCGAAAACCCCTTACAGCCCAAGACCCCCGTCTAAATCCCGAAAGCCCTAAAGCCGCAGATACCTTGCGAGTCTGTATTCCCGGTTTCGGCAGGATTCTATCAAGATGGAGGGTTTGGGGGTATTAGATGGTATGGGAGTTTCTGGGTGTTCGGCCGTCGCAGCTCGAAAGAGGGAAGATACCGCGCTTATGATTCAGTGAAGAGGAGCTTGATGCAAAGCTTCTGTGGTGGCTTTTGAATTCTTCGTGGCAGCCGCGGCAGGCGTCAGACGAGCTGCTTTACTTTGCAAGCAGCTGGGTGACCTCTACGTGGCCTTCAACAGCTGCTC